TATTCCCCGGCCGACTGCATCTCGAATTGTGTGCCTGCCTCGTGGGGAGGGGGCTAGGCTAGAGGTCGACTGTCTGATACACGATCCATGATTCCATGCTGCTCGTGTTTGTGTTCAGATGGCAGCGATGTTGCCATTCCTTTGGTTTGCAGTCACTCTGCCTTTACCTGGATTATCTCTAGACACTCAAATAGACGCCAACTACCGTGCCGAGCGAGAAAACCGGCGGTGAAGAATGATGGCGCTGATGCTAAATTGTTGAGCCCGACCGTCACCGGCCACCACCGCAGATGTGCAGCTCTAGACCAAATGACGAGAAATACCCTCACGCTTCTGAAACATATCCCATCATCCATGTCCACCTGCTACCCCTCTTCCCGTTCCCCTCCTCCTTTCGTGTCTGTCCCTTTCCATTCCCTACCTCATACGCAGATGTGGCCCGCCGCTCGCCGCCCGTGGACCACAGATGGAGACCCGTGATCATCGTGTCACGGGTCGATTGGACGTAATGCTGCGTTTTGAACCAGACGCATGAACCTTCCAAGAGACAGGGAAACCGACCGGGAGGTGGCCATTCATGCTTCTTCTCACCTCGCAAATGTCCTGTCTTCTCCTTTTTCCCCTTTCTCCTTCTGTGGCCTTGCACTCGCACTCTGAATGCTTCTTCAAGAGCAATTCCCATGATTCACCGATCCAGGTGCCCTAAACCCCCTCCTCCACCAAACCCGGCCAAAGGTGTGGCAGCCATGGTGTCGTTAGGTCGTAACGGCAGGAACCAGCCTACCACACCCCCCGGCCCAATGGTCTTGCCCTGGCGTGGGTTCAGGTAGATATGTCGTCGTCGTTCTTGCCGCCATTCCTGGGTCTTTCTAGTGCTTCGGTGCTCTGGTGCTCTGGTGCTCGGTGCGTCATGAGTCGGCCCCTCCTTCTCAATTTCCTCTCTACAGGGGGCCCGCTGTTGCCTCACGTTCCGTCACATTGACGAGCCTCGAGACCACCATATATCTAAGCCCCGACCGTCTGACAGAATCCCTCTTCTTTTTTTTCCCTCTCCCTCCAACAAACATCGTCCTTCTTGCTTCTTCTTGCTTGATCCTCCCCTTTGTTGCGACAATACTGGCGACGACTCTGGCAAGGATTGATACGACACTGGAACCCCCCCCCCCCCGGTTCCCCAACACGACACGACACGACGCAGACTGCATCCCATCCCCTCCACGGCATCCCCACCTCCGGGTGCCCCTCGTCTGACCCCCGGTCCCGTTCTTCGCTCCCAACCTGACCACCATCAACCCGATCTTGTGACTGGCAAACTAAATACTTGCGCCCAAAGCTTCTTTGTTTCCCTCATATCCAATCTTCTTTCCTAGGAACTGGACTTGTTGCTATTCTCCTTCTCGTTCGACTCGCTTTCTCATAAAAGTCGCTTCTCGCTGTGTCCGTCCATCGAACGCTTTAAACACCCGTTTCCTTCTCGTTCCGCCACACGCTCCCGGACACCGCTCCCACTTCGAGACACTCACCCTGGCCCTCTCGAGCTCAAGTACACCTACCATAGCCAATATAAACTCAAGTTTGTTTGCTGCTCTGTGCTCCTTGGCCGATCTCCGACCACGACACTAGCCCCACTCTCTCGTGTCGCTTGCCATATCACATCACGATCGGCAGACTCTCATAGCCTGTCGCACCTCGGGGAGAATAGCCTGTCACGGCACGCCGAACCCAAGAATTGGACACCGGCCCTCCAGCTTACAGTACGCATGCCTGCAGTCGAGACAACCGAGCCCGGAAGATATTCTAACAACTTTAGGAAGATGGTTTCTTTCCCGCCCAACATGCAGGCCAACGACGACTTGTCAGCCCTCTTCTCCCGCAACCTGACCTTCAACCCTGAGCTGCAGTCTCATGTTCAGGCTCAGGCTCAGGCTCAAGCCCAGTCCATGGTCCCCAAGTCTATGGTCGATGAGCCCCAGCAAGCTACGCAGGACCGCACCACCGAGGCCTCCAAGTCGACCCCTGAGCCCATCGTTTACTCTATCTCTCAGCACTACATACATTCGTATCACATCCCCCAAGAACCAGCCGAGCCTCAGCAACAGCCGGTGCAAGTCCAAGAGCCACAGCGGCGCTCTTCTGAGCCGCCTCAGTCCGATCAACTCACCCCCGAGGTTGTGCTGGCCCAGCACGGTGTCAACCCTGTAGTTCTATCTCCCTCTCAGATCCAACTGTTCCGCATCTCCGAGACGCCCCAACAGGAGCGTCTGGTCGAGCTCTGGCGCGTTGCCCCGCCCACTAGCAACGACGACAACCCCGCTCTCGCTTGGACGAGCACCACGGTCGAGCAGGAAGAGCTCTGGGCTCGACTCCGCTACGAACGCATGATCGAGGCCGAGAGGCGGACAGCTGTCATGAGCCTCGACGGCACGGCGGTCCAGTCCCAGAGCTCTGACGGCCGCTGGCTGGCCACCAACATCAGCCAGAACGTTGAGCCGTACATGATGTCGGGCTACGAGGAGCTCATGAGACGAGAGAATGAGCGTCAAGATTCGAAGCCTAAGGATGTCTACTCGCCCTACGGCTCGTCGGTCGGTGGTTACAGCCAGGCCACCGATCCCGTTTACAAGAGCACGGGCCAGGACTGGTCGCGGCTGCAGCAGGAGCAACAGCTGCAGATGCAAATGGAGAACCAGTACGGCTCGTACCAGCAGCAGCAGTTTGGCGGGCCCGTCGGTAACGTCGAGGCCATGGATGTCATGTGAGGTCGGCGGTAGGAAGCTCTACGAGATGAGAGCATGTACATAGTATACCACTGTCCAGAACTTGCCCGGCGCACGCCGGTATGGTGGTCTTTTTTCTTTTGTCTTATGAATGGCATGGTCTGGAATTGGCGCAGACGAACCAGGACAGTCAGA